GTTCCTCGCTGACGTTTGTCTTCGTGACGTTTGCGTTTCGCTGCTTCGGGTTTCCCACTTCGTGTCGACTCGAGGGTCACTGAGGTTCTGCTCCGATGAGTCCGTCAATAATTCAGCAGCAAAGTCGGGAAACGCTGATGAATAATGAAGCGGGACGACAGCGTGCTAATCACAGCGGCGCTAACGCTAAACATCCCACAGGAAACCTGAAGTGTTTCTACAGGGGCTTCTACGGGTCAGAACCAGAAAAACGCAGCGTGGACACGACTTTGGTTTCACATCAGTTTTAAAGCTCAGAGTCAATAATCAATACATAATTAATAATCAGGTTAAATGACAAAGATCTGCTGCTTTAATTTGTCTTTTGCATAAATGACGTGTTTGTTTTTCAGGTTTTAGAGAAAAATCTGCATTTTGACGGCATCTGGATGATGAAACAGTCATGAGCTGCTGTGTTGCTGTGTGAGAAGACTGATTCTCATTTTGCTTCATCTTATTGTGTTTCTGAGTTAAATGACTGTGTTTCTGTGTGCAGGGGGAACATGAATGGCCTCTCCACGTCGCTCGTCTTTACCAGAGCTCGTATCACTTCCGCTCCACTGTGGCCGTAAGAAACACCTCATTTATCTCTGGTTCTGTTTTATGTCGCTTTAAAAACCCACATTTCACCAGTTAGTGACCGTTTACATCTAAATGAAGTGATGAAAACAAGAGTCTTTCATGTCAAAGTGAACAACTTCCTACAAACGAATGTCAATAAGTGACTATAAAAGTATTCACTGCCTTTAAAGTGACTCGACTAATTCAACACAGAGACGAGTGACGAGTCACCAAGACTCCTCTGAAGGAGTTTCCAGCTTCAGCAGCTGAGATGTTAGAGACTGTTCATACAACTGTCTGTTCTTCACCATCAAAGCTTTATGGAGACAAAGAGAAAGACTCTGTTGGAAAAAGCTCAGATTAAATCTGGACCAGAGTTCACCAGAAGACATGTGGAGACTCTGAAGACACCTGGAAGAAGGTTCTCTGGTCTGAGGAGACCAAAATGGAGCTTTTAGTCCATCAGATAAGACGCTTTGTTTGTTGGACACCAAACACTGAACATCATCACAAACACATGATCCCCACTGTGAAGCACGGTGGTGGGCAGCATCATGACGAAGCACGGTGGTGGCAGCATCATGATGAAGCACGGCGGTGGCAGCATCATGACGTGAAGCACGGTGGTGGCAGCATCATGATGAAGCACGGCGGTGGCAGCGTCATGATGAAGCACGG